AGAGAGAGAGAGAGAGAGAGAGAGAGAGAGAGAGAGAGAGAGAGAGAGAGAGAGAGAGAGAGAGAGAGAGAGAGAGAGAGAGAGAGGCTCACCCCACTACAACGTGGAATGGTGTGTGTGTGTGTGTGTGTGTCTGTGAGAGAGAGTAGAGAGAGAGAAACAGGGGTGCTCACCGAATTCCACAGTAAGGTGGGGTGTGTAATGTCTCGTGAGGCCTCCAGGTTTTCACATCATGGTGATGGCACACAGGCTCATTGTCACCATGCCGACGTTTCACTGGATAATGATGACAACATATAGACATCAGCTACCGTTCCAGCAAACTGTAGTCTATGAGAACACTTCGTTGAATTCACTGCACGATGACAGCAAATCAACTGTGTAGCACGACTGTTGCACAGCCTATGAAAATTCATCTGCAAATGTGTGCGTCAACACAGGTGTGTCTATTTCAACCAGATCTTGAGACAGCAAGCCCTCATCCGCACTCTTCAGAGGGACACCGAGATACATCAGATGATCAACAATGCTGTTGCCCTTTACTGACCTGCAGATCACAGGCCCAAATTCAAGAAATCCAAAGTCGTTGAAAAACGTATTGATCAACAATCAGTGCTATGTGATTGAAAATTTGAGATTGAGTGTTAGATTTATGATCATTCATCCATTTGTGAACAACAACAAAAAAGAAAGCGAAAGTCGATGTTACATCCAAGAGGATTTGAAATTTGGAACAAAATAGAAAACCAGTTATTAAATCATTTCCAAGGAAATTGAGCTATGCGAAGTACTGAAACTAAATTTCATCATCTCGTTGAAAGGAAAAAAGCCATATGCTCGAACAAAAAGCAGAATGCACCAAGTATACACCGAATAAGAGCAAAGAAATGAACTCAAATGACGATGTCAACTCTCATCTCGCCAACACCATCATCGTATTCAATGGCGCTCTCGTAACTAACATGGCGCCTGGTGCCCAGACTACGATCAGACAGCACCTATGCAACGGCATGCTACCTCCTTCCCATGCCGTCGCCCGCAGTGCCTGTGCACAGCCAGCATGAAGTCAGCGTCTTGCCAAAGTCGAGCCAGCGTCAAAGCAGCATAGCAAGACTGAATGCTGACCACCTCGAGGCCAGTCTTTAAGTAGCATTTGGCGAGGCTCTCTGGCCTCGGGTCTCCTTCCCTCAGTCGTCCAGATTGAATCACAGCCGAAAGCCTGGATCGTACAGTTGCAGACATTCCCCTTGGACCTTATGCTGTCTGGGTACCTGCATACAAACGAGTGCGTGTGCTTGACCGGCGGCCTGGGCTGGGTACCTTTGGACTTTGACTGTTGGGGTCACGGCAGTTTACAAAAGTCAACTGTCTCACGTCCAGGCCCTGAATTTCCGTGTGGGGTCTTTGCCCCTGTTTTCGGCCTGGGCTGAGGGCGGCCGATTTGGCCCTCAGTCTTTCCACGAGACATATGGCATGGGTTATTGCAGATAACTCCAAGCAGGAGAATCAATATACTTCAGTATACTACTAAACTGGGCTACCGTTTGAGGGACAGACCACGCCAGTTGGACCACATTTTGGCAAGAAGATGGGAGAAGACATTAGATATACCTAGGGTCCAGATAGAAAAGTTACCTTGGTCAAATCTGCACAGCATCAGGCTGCCTAAGGTTAGGAGTATGCAGTGGCTTATCTTTCATGTAGCACTCCCAGTCAATGTCTGGTTGTTCGGTAGGCGAAATAGGATCAATAGGAATGACACGGACCAGGATGTGTTATGTGTTCGGGAGGTGTATTGGAAACTCTGATACATTGCTTGCTCCATTGCCCGGAGGCAGAACATCTTTGGTCCATATCACGTGAATTATGGGCACAGACTACGGACATCCCATTCCCACATAACAGAAAATTAATATTGATTGGAAGTGAAGTYCCTGGAGGATGGAAGTCAGGCCAGAAATATATCTTTCAACTTTTGAGACAGTACACCCTATAGGAGTTGTTGTTATCTGCTAGGACCTTTCTCGTTACTCATGATATATATGACAGGTTGTACAATGTGACCTGAGAGGAAAGGATGAAGCAGGGCAAACTGACAGTCAATCCTCCGCGATGTTGGAGCAATCAATGCTGGTCAGGCATCCTTTGGCGAGACGGAAGGAAGCGTGAGTGAGTATTTTTTATATCTCTTTTATTATGACTTGCCGGTGGAACAGGAACCACCAAAAAAAAAAAAAAAAAGAAAAAAGAAAAAAAAAAAAAGAAGAAGAAGAAGAAGAAGAAGTAAGTCAAGCTCAGGTAGGTAAGGTTGATAAGTCACTTAAATTTTTACCAAGGATTGAGTAGAGTCTTAAAACATAGGACGTAATCAGACAGAGGGGTAGAGGGGAAGGAGAAACGATAGCACTAGGGTTTAGGGTTTAAGGGGAGGATAGATTGAAAGTGAGAGGGGAGGGAGAAATTAGGTAGTGGTAACCTGGGGTTAGGATGGTCAGTTCTTTTGGCTCCAAAATGCAACCTAGAGACAGGCTGGCAGTTTCTTTCATCTATTGTGATTTGTCTTTTTGTTATAAAAAAAAGGAAAGAGAGATGCAGCAGAACAATTGAAGGACAGTCCAGACCACGGGAGAAGGTTCGGGTGGAAACCAGAACGATGAAAACCGAGACCCTTTGCAGATGGCGGAAGACCAAGCAAGCCTGGACAGAAGACGAGGAACAGCGAAAGAACGAGAGACTGAGGTTTTACAAGAATTGGTTGTTAAACGGCAAGATTGCAGAGATACGAGAGGACCGTATCTGCTGGAAAGAGKGGCATAACTCRGCGCCAGAAAGRAGCTTCCAACAGCGGTTAAMSSCGGTTGGATYAATCACTTCTTGAACACGAGATGACTGCAATTGCCGGAAAGACTGGCACAATTCAAACTCAGGAAGAGGCTAGCAACAACAGATAACTGTGGACGGGCAAAACACCTCCTGATCAGACTTCCACGGGAGATTGACAAGCCTAAACTACTACAGCTATGGATGGATAACATGGAGATGGACGGATGGCACCAAAAGATCAGAACAAGGGGAAAAGGTTGACTCAAAGGGATGTTGGAGTATGGGTACACAGGTTGAGGGTTTAAGGTTCAGGGTTTTAGTGATGATTTAAAGAAAGGGGGACAGATTAAAAAAAAAAAAAAAAAAAAAATCCCGGATCCGGGCTGCTTTCAGTAGCCGCAAAAAAGCCTTGTCGAGTCACCTGCAATCATACTCGACTTATTCACACTTCATCATGCTTGCAAACAGCGATACAGCAAACTAGCAACATGCGCCCACACAGTACTCAAAGATATCGTAACCAGATATGAGTTCTCTTCCAACTGGCTATGGCGACTGTGCACCCATACAACTCACTGTTCCCACTCGAGATCACCCTGGATGTCCCACACGCAACACTCAGTGCTCATACACAACAC